TACACATGTAAGGCAAAAGACTGAAATAATGACACATTTCAAGGGAAGGGTGACAAAATGGCATATTTTACGAGGGGTACCAAAGTGTCAAAACATTTTTCCTCAAATTGAACAAAAATATACATAATTATAGATGCACTTCACTCACGGTAGCTATGTGTATCTAAAAAAAAAACTTACCCAATATGACCTCCTAACTGTCATTTTGGTAGTTATTGTATATCTCTGAAAAACTATCCAACATGGTCACTAAATGTGTCGTTTTGTTATGATTTTGCATAAAGTTTACCTTAGTGCAGCTTTCAGAGTAATCATCATCAATTAAATACATATTTGTATTGTGTGGGAATTTAATTTTTTTATTTCTTTTGCAATAGGTAAAGACATAAAAACTATGGAATTTTATATTAAGTGACAATTACGATATTGTTTCTACAAATTTTTTTTACATAGTGGATAAACATGTTTTTAGTTTAAAACTCTTAACCCTTTCTTTTCTTCTGAATTCAACATTCTTCTTTTCAAATTTTTTATCCTGTTGAAACAATGTCTGGCTTATCACGGTGACTTATATCAGCCAATAAAAGCATCACAAAAAAAAAGGTTTCTGTAACATTTTACAATGTGTCACAGTTTTAGATATATTCAGGTAATTTTTCTAGATTTTTATGCACACAGTTAATAACACACTTTTAAACCAGGTGTGGGAAGTTATAGACTTAATAGGTATAATCCTTTTGCTTAGCTAATGCTTACATATTACACTGCTTGTTTCATAGGCCTTATCCTTGACTCTGCTTCTGTGTCATGCCCTCATGGAATGAGTTCATACTTACTTGAAGTTGTTATAAAGAAACCCATACAAGTTAGTAGGAGTTGTGGGTTTACTTAAATACGTGTATTTGGAATAATCATTGACAGAGTTAAACCTAAGGATTGTGGGATACCACACTAAGACTCTGATGTGACATGAAAGTGTGATATTTCTTTTTCTCTTCTAATGTGGATGTGTTTTGCTTTATTCTACTCTACCTCAGTAGCCAGTTGAAGTTACTACCACAGAACTAGGAACCAGCCAATAAGTCAATATTTACAACTACAGAGTATGAATAACCTGAATACCACATTTGTTCCTACTACTGCAACCACCCTTTAGCAAAAGGATGCCAAATGCTGCGCAATGATATAGAGTTGCCTTTTAATACAGTAATTTAATGACATACACCTCATAATTCAATTAAAATACCAGATTTCTTCATCAGTTACATCATTATCCAGACAGTGAACGTTAACATTTAAACATAAAATTAAGTACAAAATTTAAGGGTTGTAACTAAGTATGTTTCAAAGATTGAATACACATCACATGTAGTACCTAAAGTAAAATATTTAAAAACAATAAAATAAAACTTTTATGCTTTTATATGCTTTGCACAAAAAAGGTTTAACTTTGAAATTTACAACATCATTTAGGGTGATAGAAGCAAGGTTTAATTTTTACATCTTTCAATAAGTTAGTGCTTAATAAGTGTGCAAGTCACCCATCAACCTCTGAAGAAAAGTTGAAAAGTGCAATAAATAACAGTTTCTATTAACTTGGTAATAAATTATATGCAAAGTTGTAATAGAAAAATGAATGTGAATTTCTACATGTGATCAGATAATTTCATAAATGATATCTGAAATGGGTACTTAAACCAACATTTCTGCTTATTTATAAATATTAGTACAAATTCCTTTTTTTTTGCGGGGGGAGGGTATTATTTCAGGGTAAAGCTCTTATGAATGGTTACTACATTCTCCTCACTTCACAAAATTCTAGAACTTTGAAAGCAAAATTATAGAATGTTAACACAGTGTTCTACAATATTTCATCAATAAAGTTGTATGTCTAATAAAAATATGTTTAAAATTTGAAAATAACACTGGTTACATGTGGCTTGTAACAATGATCATTGCAGGTGTTACATTTTTTGAGTTAACAAGTGTGTCCTAACAAACTGTCAGTTAGAATCTCATGGTGAGAATGTTATATTTTATAATTTTTTTCCTCCTCAATCTCAAATGGTGATCATAAATGTCCAAAATGTTTTTAAGTGATAGTAACAGTAAAAATTAGTAAGTATTGGACTGATATCATTCTCTGAATGCATTCAAGGTTTCAACTGTTTAACAGTTAAAGTTAAGAGTCTAAATACGGCTAGTTATGGTGAATAGTTATCTGAAAAAGGTGTATTAATGCATAAAAAGTGGATGTTCTGCAACTATAAAAAAAAATTAACACTTGTTTGATGAAAAGATTTTTAGTATTTCTTATGAGTGAGAAAACAGATCTCTAAGTGAATTCATGCTGTAATGTAAGCACTTCAACAACTCCCTGTCACTCAAGAAGTCTCGTTTACCTAGTAAACTTTTGAAAAATGTTTTCATGTTAAAATCTATTTTTTAATTTTTAAGATCGCATGATTTACTATCCAACTTATTATACAATAACAAATCACTTTGACAATTCACAGTCACTCAGGACCTTGTTAACTTTTGTAAAACTTGAAATTTCATTAAAAAGATCTTTCTGATCAGTTTCTGTTTGTTTAGTTGTGTTTAACGATATCTGTATTTTGTTGTTTGCACTTGTAAATATATTTTCTACATCAAGAAAACCTCTGTGTAGGGATAGTCAAACTATAAATTCATCTTTATTTGCTAAGTATCCTCATATGCAAGATTTATTGCCTTACTTTAGTAATGTCAACAAATGTGGAAATAGACTATAGTGGAAGTTCAATTAGCCAAGAAATCCAGGTGAGATAAATGCAAATTGATAATAAAATTCACAATTAAAACTGATAGCAATGTTATCTTATCATTACTACATCAGCTATTGTAAAAGTAATATAGCACTGTGGTCAGGTTGTAGGATAAAGCTCAGAAAAATTAAAACTACTCTCTTATTTTTTATCAGAAATTCTGCATTTAATGCATTACACTTTGTAAATCAATTCTAATTTTTGAGTATGTTTCCTGGAACTTTTTCGTCTTCAATCCTCAAGAATTTTAAAAGCAAAATGCTAAAATACACTGATAAACAACAGTAATAGTATAAAGTATGTTTTATTAATACACAATTAAATGATGATATATTATTTCTCACTCCTTACAGATAACTTACAGAATATTTTTATAGATTTTTTCCCAAATATCAGACATTAAAAGAAATAGTTTATTTCCTTTAAATATTTTCTATCTTCAAGGGCAACATACACATTACAAGACATGCTTTTAATTGTGTTGGAAAGTAAAATACACATTAACTAAATTTACACTGGGTCAGTCCACTGGCTCAGTATCACATTACAGAGGAAAATTTGAATATAATTCTGAATTCACTATGTGTATCTATACAAGATATAACAAACGTTTAGTAAAATGTACAAACATGTTGTATACAAAAGTCAGATGAGTTATAAAAGTATTTCTATTCAAGATATGTCTGTGAACTGATGACATCAATCAGACTCTGACAAGTTTGAGTGCAAAGTGATGTTCAACTGACGAATAAAAACAATACTTTTATCCATTGTACAGTTAGCATATTGCATTTGAATAATTTTTAGAACCTCCTAAATGTAGTTTTTTTTTCAGTATCACTGTATATTGTACCTAGTGTTTGCTCTCTTCAACCATGGACTGTTGCTAAATCAGCAATGTAGGGTAAAATGGATAGTTGATAACTCTGACATCAACACCTAATACCATGTTAAATGGCACTCTATAAAGGGTTGTGGCATGTGCACTTTGACCCCACCCCTGCACATACATATTAAGAATCATGCTGTAAATTATCTTGGAAAGCAGCATACACATTAAGAGACATTCTGTCAAAGCTTGAAAAACCCACAAATGCTTTAAATCATAAATAAACAGGAAACATGCTTTTATTAAAATGAATCTGTAAGCTTTTTATATCACAGATACAATGACTGTGTTAAGCTCAGCCTGTGTTTAATAAAAGGTAATTGTCAAAATTTTTATCACACTAAAAACAAATTTGCAACGATGCATATACATAATTATAGGTAAATTTTATTATACTTCATCAAAACGTTGTTATGTATTTATGTTTATATATGGCACAAGCAGTACTGAATCTAAATATGATGCACATTTTATGCTATAAATGCTTATATCAAGATATTGGCAAATTGTATGTACCAATATGTAGATATACTTGAACACAAGGTATAAATAATCTCCAAAATAGTAAAGCTAATACCTGGTTTGAATAATTACATAATTTAACACAAGGTGTCAGCAAGATCTAGTATCATGACAAAGACATAAAAATAATTTTGTACAACATGTTTTTTTAGTATACTGAAAAACTAAATCTCATGGCTCTGGTAAGAATTTTTTTAACTATTAGGCTTTTAATTAAGACCTTTACAGACAGTCCTTTTTCAACATTTGAACAAATTGGTCTGATAACAAGATGTATCTTTTTACAGTTGAAACTTATTTGATTAATCAACACGTGCAACAGTTTTACGAAGACTTCATTTCATTTGGTCATGGTATTTTTGTATTTTCTCACTGGTTTATGTACACGTTTTTGTGCAAAATATAAGCCTTCTCATTGCACATTAAAGTTTATATAAAAACATTTATAAAAAATAACTTATTTTACTGTATTTAGAAGTGGCGATACATCTAATAATGAAATATTTTGGTTATATGTTTATAATAACTGTATTAAACGTACAGCATACTGTGCTATGGAAAACAAAAATAACTATAATGCAGGTAATGCAGTGGAAAAATACAGCTACACATGGGCAAACTGAGTGTACACTAGCACACTTTTGGTATTCCATATGTGCTTTTTACTATGCGAAGAGTATGGAACTGTTAGAAGTGTTATTATGTGTCATATTAAACACTTAAAAAAGCATCTCAGGATTTGGAAAGCAATGATAAATTATTTTGAATACTATGATTCCTACTGTTTTACGAATACGCTTTCATTCAGTGAAACCTTTCTGCAGAGCTAGGACCAGCATCAACATCCTGCGGCTGTTCTTTGGTAGGAATCAAACTAGACATGCTAGCAGCTTTCATCATCATCTCATCCTTACTAGCTCTGTGTAGAAATAAACAGTTTTTTACTCAGATGTTCAAATGTAAAAATATATATATATATATATATACACATATCATCAGTTTTCATGAACAACAACTGTTATGGTGTAAACCAAACTAAGCAAGTGAACTGTAGTTATCAATTTTATTCAAGTCATTTTTAAGGTAAATTGTACAACATCTCTTTATTGCTACAAATCTTTTAAAGAAACAACTGGATTTTTTAATTTATCTGATTGTTCTATCAGTAAAAAAATTTGTCAAACTAGTATGACAATCATTTTCTGTCTGTAAATGAGATAAGGCATGCTAATTTTAAGGATTCAGGTGCAAAACTATTTAAGTAAACCAGCTTTGTTCATGTTTCTATAGAAGCTGATAATAATCAATACAAGTTACAGTATATTCTCATTAGTCCAGGCATCGACAATTTATATTATTTACAATCTGGATGATTTTTCATATAAACATATCTTCACAACAGAAAATTTATCCAATAATCCATACATTTGTGTTCTGAATCCAAATAGCCATTTCTAATAATAAACATGTATTTCCTATGGATACATGGTTTGTTTCCATACATGACTCCACAAGAGTCAAGAATGGGTCAATCAGAACAGAAAACAAGGTAATAATTACTGACCATGAATCATCTGGATTAACTGTTGTATACGTATTAACAACAGTGTTTCCAAGAACAACCATCACAGTAGATATGTACATATAAACTATAATAGATAATCAGAGTAACTTACGCTCCAGTCATGTCAAACCACAGTGCTCCAGAGTGAACATGCACAGAAATAACAGCATGATTATAATGTGATGTTTGTTTATACAAGAAAGAATATTCAAAGGTAAGCCTTTGTACCATCAGTAGGCATTTCAGAGTAGAAAGGAATGTTCTTGTGGACAAGTCAACCACATCTGACATTCTTTGCAGCAAAGTAGGTGAATATTCTAGACGATTCAGGTCAACAAACAAGAGTAAGACATTCAAAGCTTGTGAACATGGAGCAAGCTCTGTATCTTTGGATGTGTGATGTTACATAAAGAAGGCAAAGTTGGACGGTTAAGCAGCAAATGCCAATCAAAAAACAATTGCTGGAAATAGTGATGATGCTATGTCAGCTGATCAGTGGCACATCATCGATTCAGCAGAACAAATTGGTCATTTGTGTTAGCAGTAAATCTGACATTAAAACTGCTCCACCAGTCAAGCCAGTTAGTCTGAATAATGTACAACCTAGCCTTAAAAGCATCATCAATTAGAACAAAACAGTGACTTATGGGTTGTTTGTTTAACCCTAGAATGCCAGGATTCAATTTTTAATCATTAACACCCAATAGCATGGACCCCATGCTGGCATTCAAGGGTTAAAGCTGCTGAGAAGCTTTAAAAGAATATTAAAAAAAAGCAGTTCAAAGGCACTCTGTGATTTACATATTACATCCTTCTTTAATAAGTGACTGTTGTACATTTGGCCAACACTATGTATTTTGTATTCTGTAAGTTATTGGTTTGAAAACAAAATTTCATTTTAAGTGAAGATAATGACACTTTGCTTATGCAATATGTTCCATTTAGACAATCTAGATAAGAACAAGTTGATACATTTATTGTATATACAGTTGCTTTCTGTTTATCAGTTACATGCCCACCTTTACTAGCTTTCACCCTTACATCCATCAGTTGATAACGCACGTTATTAGTAGTGTCCATAGTTTTCAATGTGAATGATTCAACTATCTGGATGTTTAAATAATTCACACAAATTAGTTCACAACAAATGTGTTCTGATTAATAAAATTTTACTGTACTCAACAGTTTCTTTGATCTTTAACACTGTACAATATTGTATTTTCACAGATATTTACAAAACTTTAATTATATAGGTTACACTTCAATAAACCATTCAACAAAATTTGCGTAACCTTTTCCTAGCAAGTGTATTAAAACACAGTGTGACATTTTTACATCTCTTAAGTCATGTATCATGTTTTATGTGACAAGTACTATAACAGGAATCCATTACACCACAAACAGCAATAACCTGCTTTCAAACAGGAGTCATCAGACTACTGTGCTGATCTGATTAGGAGATGCAAAGTTAAAGTGGATACTAGTGTGCCCTCAAACTTTTAGTACAACTTTCATTTAATTATATATTTCCTGATATGCATGTTTTCTCTTTGAAGATTATTTGATGCATACTTATCAATAAAAATTACACTTTTCCTTTAAGAACATGTATAAATATAGTGAGTCAGTGACTATTAAAGGCTGTATTTGTAGCATCTGGCTTATTACAATATTGAGTTTTAAGAAAAACAAATAAATAGTAAAATATTTTTGTAATGAATGAACAGTGTGTGTGTTACATCATTTATAAGTGAGTGTGTGTAAATATTGGGGATTCTTTTTTCTGTCCATAATATAGTTAAAATATAAGTATTACTAGTTTTTTTCATTTCAATATGCAAAATCCTAACTAGAATAGGGGTCTGCAAGTAATTTTTTAGTAATTTTCATACATTCCTGTGTTCATTTTAAGCTACTTGGGGTGAGCAGTATGAAAAGATTATTTTAAAAACTAATTACCAAGAGTTTATTTACTTAATAAAGGGAAAAACAAACAATAAACAATTTATTTAATCATCTATAAAGTAAGTAAAGATTGAATTTCAACCTGTTTTCAAATAGTATTCTTAGCCAATAGTACAGCAATGGTGTATCTTCATGGGATTCATATTTATTCTTTTAGACTGATAGGGCAGTCAATTATAAAACAGTTATGAGACAAATATTATGGCCATGAAGCTCAGATGACAAGTACTATGAAGAGAGAAAGCTCGGATATCAAGTAATATGACCATGCATCTTCAACAACAAAAAATGTATAAAAACTATTTAAACAGTAACAGATGAGCATCAATTATATTGATCAATGTATTGAAAATAATCAAGTAACTAATAATAGTACTTATGATTATTACTGCTTCTAATTATTCCAATTATCCAATAATCAATTAGTTTAATGTAATAATGGAATGTGCCTGATGATTAATCAGATAGCAAATTAAACTAATGACTCAGCCCTAAAGCTTGGACAAGTCTTATGAACATGAAGCTCAGATTGCATGTGAGGTTTTGATGTGTGTGTATATGGATAATTTATTAATGACCTTCAGGTTCCTGGGTGAATGTTACATATTTTTGAAAAAAAATAATAAAGAGGTATATAATTAGAAAAATATGCAAAGTTTAAATATGGTAATAACATCCTACTTTCCTAAAATATATTAAGAAATTGCAGTATTTCATAATTAATGTAGTGGTGCATATATGTATATATCACAGTAAGGAAAACAAAAAAACTGTATGGATAGGTGCAGATTAAGTTTAAATCTCACGCTGCTGAAAAATTACCTGTAACCTTCTTAACTTCAAAAATGTTACAAGATGAAAATTGCAAAACATTAAAAAAATAAGTCTAAGTGAGCCTAAAAACATAGAATTTGCAAACAGAATATATTACAAAAAGCATGAAAAAAATCCCTTACTTTTTCCCCAAAGCCATAATTCCATACAAGCTACCAGTGACAAATACAAGTCCAGAACCAACAAATGTTGACAATTCACCACACAATACCATGATGAAAGCAGATAGACTGTGAGGTGAGAAAGTAAGACACAAAGTTCATTTACCAATATTTTTTAAACATTTTGCATTACTTTTAAAAAACGTTATTCTTTTCACCAATCTACCTTTTGGTTTATTATTTTTTGGGCATCATAGGAACATGAAGCATGACAGTTATAAGAAGTTAAGTTTTATTATTTTCGTTTTCTATTGTTAACTGTAGTGTTTATTCTGAATTACTCTTATGTCTGTTAGGTTATACATATTTCTTTAGATTTTACTGCTGAGACTTCAGGTTTATAACATTACAGTACCTGCAAACTCATACTATAAATAGCTAATTGTAAAAACAAATAATCCATCATATTCAGAGTTAAATATATATATCTGTTGCTGAACTATAAGCTTCAACAGTAAATTCAACTATAAGATTACAGTTATTAAAAACACATTACAAGAACACAAAGCTCTACAGGTCAAATGCTATCTGTTAACATTTTCTTACACTGAAAATGTATTTCTGATAGGCACTTACCTCCTCTCACCCAAAGCTTTCACTCTTGGACTGCCCTCTAAGCATTGCAAAAATTTGTCACTAACAGCACACCAGTCTTTTACGTCCCATTTGTTTTGCACTATTTCAGAACATGTACTGATCATGTGACTACCCTCCACCTATCATACTGTGCCCTCTCCTTTTCAACAGTAATTCTCACTTTCATGAATTGGCAGGTACAAACCAGAAACACTGGCATATCAGTGGGTAGGAAGGGTGGGAAGTGTGTGAGAGAAGGTAAGAACCTATTGGAAGTACATTTTCAGTGTAATAAAAATGTTAACTTCCGAAACAGTCTTAGCTCTTCTCACCCAAAGCTAGAATCCTACATTGCAAAGGTGGAGAAGCTGTTATAGGTGCATCAATTTCCAATCAAGTGGAAAGCAACTGCATTGAAAAAACAGGTGTGCAAGAATATGAAAAGAAAGCACACCTGTGGAGTATAGCACTACTTCTGGAACAGGTATGCTCTTTGCCCAGTAATTAACACAGGAACAAAAAGAGGGCTGAACTGATTTGGCAGGCACCAATACATTCAGAAAAGAGAGGTACAGCCTAAAATCAATGGAAAAGTGCTGTAGAACCATGACTTGAAACAGCACGGTGTCAACAAACCTGGAAAGTGCAGTGTGGAATCAACAATGGGCTAGTATAAGCATGTGCCAAGGGTAGTGCCTTGGATTATAGAGTAAGTCAAGTGCAGTCCATCCAGGCAAAACATCCAGTCTGTATAAGATATTGAGATCAATAAGTCCAGTCCTTCCAGGTGAACTTAGGTGGTAAAAGAATTGTAAAAATCAAACTTACCAAACATTCAGCAGAGAAGACATGAAAGACCTAAATTATCGCACGTGGAAATTAGGTCAATCCACACAAGCTTACATAAACTCGCTAAACACAGGTATAGCTACTGGAAGGGTGGAATACACATTGAAAAACTTACCACAGATCTTCTGATAAAAAAACAAAACAATACCTAACCCAGGAGGTTACATGGATATGCAGTAACAGTTGGAAGGTACTGTAGAAGGAAACTTACATTCAGTAGTTATTTCTTACCTCACAAAACCTTGTAATGTGAAAGGAAGAAAACATCAGCCTCCCCAAGAACCAAAGCCTGTGCTTCCTTAGGAAACATCATCGACCCCAAGACCTGGGGATTCTTGCCAGAACCATTGTCTACCATCATGGGGATTACATCATCTGTCAAATTAAATCTCAAATTCATATGAGACCTGGGGACTCGTGTCAGAACCATTGTCTACCGTTACAGGAATTACATCATCTGTCATATTAAATCTTGTATTGAACACATTAGAATCTGGAAAACAGAAATACTTCTAAAACAAACGAGTAGAAACAATGAAAACCAAACATAAGAAGTCAAAACTTGAAGTTGAAACTGATATGAATTTTTGATCAAACACAATCAAAATTTTGTAGTCACATAAAGAGTAAGTTAAAACACATGTTTAGAATACCAATCGAGAAAGTGTGGATTACTCTAGAATAGTACAGGGAGTAAGTTGTGCTGGTATAAAGGATGCAGTATGATAGGTGGAAGGTAGTCACATGATCAGCACAAGTTCTGAAATGGCACAAAACTGATGGGGTGTAAAAGGCTGGTGTGCTGTTAGCAAAATATTTTAGTAATGCTTAGAGGCCAGTCCAGGATTAAGATAGCTTTAGGTGAGAGGATGTATAAACGTTTTGGAATTTTTTATTACAGAGAACAATATATTAAACTAGTTTCAATAGATATATTAAAACAACAAACACCAACATTTTTGAAACAGACAGTATTCAGCCAAATATAACAGTATGGGTATATTATCATCACTACACTTACATGACATATAGTAATGCTTTATGCCAGTATGGTCTCTTCTCAAAATAGTTGTAGGGATTTTGGGCAAAATCAAGAAAAGCACAAAAGCATGGAACTTCAATAAGAGCAACCACAACTCCCAACAACCTAATATAATATAAAAGGAAAATAATGTATAAGTTTAAAGAAATTTTGTTATCACTATGAGTCACATCCATATAAATTGTTTTTGTATTTCAAAATAAAAAACATGTTACTTATTCATACTTTATTATAGAAGTTTTTCTCATTAATTCAATATTTTATTCATTGAATTATGGTGATCTCTGTAGATTGAAATTCACACAAATACAATTAAGAAACTTGTACTGCTTCTTATCTCCATGGCCAAATTCAACCCATATTTAAGGCTCTTTATCAAGTCTGGATGGGAGAGAGCCCAAATTCATGTAAAATGCACTAATTATTGTCCAGTAATCCATCACAATAATTTAATGGTACTGTCTAACATTGACTTGGTTTAGTGTATATTTTTCTGTAGGATAATTTAAATGTACAACATCATCTATGTCAAATAAAAGATCACGTCAAATATTAACTTGAATTAATTAAGCCATACAGATTTAGCATAACTGATTTTGAAAAATACAGCAGTCAACCCATCAAAACATTTGCAAAATATTCCTGCTAACCTTTAAAAATCTACTGGTATCTTCCTTATTTTACTTTCATTTTTATAATTATTACTTTTTAGTACTTTTCCCAAATTTGTGTAATTTTGTTTACAATTCTCTTTTCAGCTGCCATTTTGAAATTAATAAATTTTGAAACTATATGCAAACAAAATATAATTCAGCATTCCTGTAATCCTTCTGTTATATTTTAATATAGATTAATTACATACATGCATACTCAGAACATCACTCATGCCCTTAGTTCCTGTGCAGGGATTTGAGAGTTTACCAATTCTCAAACAAAATGCCTGTATTATACTTCGGTTGCTATGATCGTGGGAGAATTGTAATTGGAAAAATTTTACATAGAATATAGTTTTGTTTTAATTCTGAAAATCAACATTTGTAACATCAGATATGATAAAATTTTGAATAAAAGTTGTTACCCGGTGATGACCTATGAATTTGAAAATATAATTCCCACCTCGAATGAGGTAAATGAAGCATGCGAGTGTAGAAATTAAACTGGATGCTCTACTTGAAAATTATAAATATTAAATGTTGAGGTTATAGCTTACACTTTTAAGTCTTAGCAATCTTAAGCAAACTTACATTTGCAAAATCCCAGCCATAAGGCAACGTGCAGTAATGGTGAAACATGCCCAGGCACCTATACCAATGGCTACTATAGGAATATAGAGAAACTAAAATGTAAATAACACATGTTAGCATGTAAACACTAAATATAAATGCATTTTTTATATCTATACAATATATTTAGAATATTTATTATTCATTCCTTTTATAGCCATTAAACTCTAGTTCAAACATGCATATGCAAAACACTGGAGAAAGACAGTTTTAACATTACATTCTCTCACTCTCTATATTTGATCGACACAATTTCAACATGATTTCCTCATGCTCAACACAATTGGAAGTTTTGGGAAAGGGCATGATTTTGTTGAACATTTATATGCTATTATTTTGGTTGTTTTAACATTTAGGATGGGAATTAACTTTCTAGATCTTAAGCTCCGATAGCTCAGCTGATAGAAAACTAGTGTTAACCAGGGATTTCAGGTTCGAGCACGAGTCAGGATAGATTTTTTTAACATTATACTGGCATTCAACTAGTGGTTATCTTACTAATCACTAATCAGAGCCAATGTGCTAAGTATATGGTAAATTAAGCCATTAGTTCAAGTGACTGGCTTTGTGATAATCTTGGCATACAGTATGTACATGATTGCACTGTTGGCCTCTGGAATGGGTTACCTTTGGATGTTATGGGGGCAGTAAATTTAAGTAAGTTTAAGAGAAAGCTTGATAACTATATGAATGATGATGGCTGGCTTTAAGATTTTTTTTTTAATTTATTTATTGATAGTTTTAGTTTAATTTAGAAGATGGAACAGCCGAGATGGACCAATAGGTCCCATGTTCTTCCAAAACATTATGTTATGTTATTGGTGGTATTTGCTAACTGATTAATTAATGGCCTCATTAATCTATAACATTTGATTAATTTATTATTCAAGTGTTCCTTTAGCAAACCAAGGTATGTATTAGCAAAAAAGAAAAAAGAAAAAGTGGTAGGCAGGTGCTGCCAGTCAGTTGGCTTCCCTCTAGTCAGCAGCTCAAAATCAGTGACAGTGGCAAATAGTCTTCGTAACTTTGAAATAACAAAATCAAATTAAGCAAACTTAGTGGCAATGGAAATTGAACTCTAAACCTATGAAATACTAGCCCCCCCCCCCCAAATCACCACAACTAACAGAGTAAATAAAACAAACAAATTAAAATTGAACAAAGACCAACAGCTCATTATGAAACTTTGCACTTTACAAAAAACAAATGTAACAGATAACTTGGATACTTATGAGAATCAAAAATAGTAATAATTGGAAACCCTAATTTTGATCAGTTGATTGTTTTTGACAATCAATTTATCATAATTTTGATTAATCAATTGTTGGAATAACAGAAAACAGTAATTTCAATTAATCATGATTTTAAGTAATTGATTAGATTATGTGACACTAATCAATGTAATCACTGTTCATAGGTAATCAATTATGCCAACTAATCGATTTAAATGCTAAGCTCTAGTGTTGGTAGCTGAATACTTCAAAAAAGAGGGACTCAGGTTTAAGTCTCAGTCAAGGCACTTTTCTGCAAATCCTAACTAGTTATGATAACATCCAATTAGTGACTGTTCACTGTTGAGAGACATCACAGCTGAGAAAATTGTAAATCAAACCATCTGTAAACATACTTGCATGGCTGCCACCTGGCCTAAAGTACTAAGTGTATTATGTGAGTAGTCAGTATGGAGTTTCATGTCTGGTCAGCTTGAGGAAAAGCCTAGACTAAGTGGGATATTGTATCAGTCAAGATGGTGATTTGTCCAGTTATAACTTCAGGCTATGGCAACCAAATTAGTAGGATATTGGTCTCATAGTTTTACTCCGACGAAGAATAGTCAACTATTTGAAAATGTTAAGTTTCTGTGTCTTTTGAAATCTACTTAGTTTTTGGCAATATATTGTGCTAATTCTTTCATTTTTGGTTACACACAGTTAAATGAGAGTTGAGACACTCACATTCAAACTCTGGTCAACACAGATTTATAACATTGCTTATGTGTACTGTTTGTTGAAGTTCTTAATGAGTTCACTGGGAAAATGCTTATACCAAGTTTAGTTAGCAATAAAAAAATCTTAGTAATTTTGGAAGATAATATCAGTACTACAGATTAGATATTACACTGATAAAGTAAAATGGAACAGATTTAATTTCCTTTATAATAAATTATATAAAAAAGTTGAAATTGTTAGAATTAAAATTTTATATTTCTGTTACCACATTTGGTGTTACAGTGTTATTGTTCTTAAAAAATAATAACAACAACATGCAACTTTATAAGACAAGTGCTTATGCTATTAAAAGAACTTAACTTTATAAAACCATAATTTTTTGCACATTCTGACATAATTATTTTCATGATGTCCTAATAATTATCACCATACCTTATAAGTCTAATAGGTCTAATTATAAAAAAATGAATAACAACATGGTTTGGATTACTGGGTTAGTTTTCAGCCAAACAGATAAATATTATCAGATGCTATAAATCGAGATTTTCAGCCATTTGTTGGCAGCATTCGCTCGGGTTTAAGGAGTTAATGTGCTTGGGTTAAAGTACATTATAGAAAAAGGGAAATACGTGCATTTTCTGAAAGTCTCTTGATCACGTTATTAAGTCTACTGACACCAACAAAGATATATATAAACATATCAGGGGTTTCAAGTCAGTCAACCGACACATTTTTTGATAAATCAAATAATCTAAAACCTACATTAATTACTGTGAATACATAAATACTGTCCAAAGTTTCCTGATTCATTTTCTGGCTGTACAGTCCCTATCTGCTTATAGGCAAGTTTTGGAATTACACCCCTACTAATGGACTTCAATGAGTGTTCAACCAAACAAAAAAATACCATATTTATTACCGTTATACATATTTTGTAAATATTATATATTAATACAATATGATTGTGAGTTTATTCAGTCCCTGCTCTTCTCCTGCTGAAATCTTTATTGGTGAGCAATACTATGCCATATTATACTATCCTTCATTTTTATGCTGCCAACAGCCATGATATTTTTAAACTTGTATTATAAATTCATAATAATAGCATAGTATTATAAAACAACAATAGATACTTATTTGTTATAATGACTAATATTTATTTATTTATGACCCAACATCAAGATAGTGGCACTGTATACAGCAGCATCAGCTTTGTTGTTGTTGCTAGGCAGGGGATAAACCATTAACTGGTTCTATTTTACTTTCCCTGTAACTTACATAAAGTAAAAATTCAATATATACAGTTAAGATTAAAGAATTTTTTTGACTTGTCAAACACCTAAGCCTTATACATACATACGTATATACTAGCAGAATAGTTGTGCAGCTTCTGTAAGAAAAAACTTATTATTATAGAAAATGGTAATTTTAGATAACTGAGCTGTGTAAATTAGTCTTGTTTTATGTAACACTAAAAAAGTCATGTAATTATAGCATTTCAAAGAACTTGTTTCCATAATAACGAGGATATCTATACTGTGTTCTATTCTTGGACAGGTTATTTTGGATTAATTGGTAAAAATAATACCAAGTTCAACCCACATAATGATAAATTAATTTATTTCTGTGGTGATGCTTGCTACAGGCTACATTCATTTGTAGGCCTAACTTACTTATAAAACTTACTCGCAGAATTTCTTAGCTAATCAGCTGATAACAAACTTGCTAGCCAATGCACTGTTAGTTGAATTGCAGATAAATATATGCAACAACTCTCCCTGTCTGAGTTACTAAAAGACAGTGAGCTGATAAACTCACTGAATACTCATTAGTATGTTTTTCACTTACTCTGGTACTAATCTTGTTCTAGTTTTCTAGATCATTACACTCCCTCTAGCAAATAAACATCTAAATCAAAATATTAAAAATATAGCTTAGAACAATACAATTATACACAAAGTTGTTGTAAAAACAGCATTTTAACACTATTAACTACATTACTTATAAGTTATATAAAGTTGAAACTGAGATATGTTAACAAGAATGCATAAAAAATCAAGGACATGTTTCTCATTAAGATCACCTCTCCACCATCCAAAATACCCAATTAATGTATCAAACCTTTGTAAACATTCAAGTGTCATTAGACTAACCTCACAGAGCATATCATGCTAACATTCCAAAAATTTAAAACTGCTGAAGAAATACTCAAACCAAAGATAAAATATACAGATGAACTTCCAAATCTTCAATATCCCAATCAAACTATAAGATAGCAAATTCTACTTTTATTTTATAGTTTGGTTTACCATTCATTTATTATTCCTTCTATTGTTTAGTTCAACTATGAATTCTTAGTTACATTTAAGCACTAACTCGCCTTCTATCTAAAGCTCATTAATTTTGTGTATGTATTAAGAAAATGACAAAAGCTTTCCCTAGAGATAACGTACAGATATTAATGTTGTGAAAGATTATGATTTATGGTAATATCTTGTGATATGAGATCTAACCTTATGCTCTAACCACTGAATAAAAAGCCTTCCTTGATCTTTAAAAGGAGTTCAAAAGATATAGTTAGAAAGAATCATTACTAATAATTGTTCAGTATTGTTCTTGATATTGAGAAGTGGTGAATTCAATTTATTTTTCTTGTTCTTTTTACTAATTTCTTTGATATTTATTGAAATTAATCACATTGAGGTTTACATTATATTATTTATTAATGTTTATACCTAATTTTGGCCAGATACAGGTTTACCAATTGTTTTTCTGTAAATGATAAAAATTTATATTCTACTTGTTTGAAAGTTTTTTTTTCATTTCTGTGGTTATATTTAACAAAATACTTTTGTTTGACACTAGTGGTAGCAGCATTTTGTTTAGTCCACTACAAAACATAAAGGCTGACTGTTCAAACTTTTTAAGCAGCTTCAAATGCCTGAAGCAAATCATCTTTATTTTTACTGTTTTGGAAATAAAAACATCAAAAAGTCCAAAACTTCAAGCTTCTCTTCATAGCTCAAATTTCTAAAAACTTGTAAAAATGTCATTTGTATTATTTTTTATATTTCATTACACTTCTTTGTTGATAATGATATTATGTATAATCACAAATACTGTTACATTTCTAATAATTGTGCTTATGTGTTTTGGTGAAGCTTGTTTGACCTCCATTTTATTTATTTTATCATTTATTCTAGTTAAGAATCATGAATCTACCCTAGCTAACTGAAATCTAATAGTGTTTAGGTTTGATTTTTTTTATGTGATAGAAAACACTGTACATGTAAAAACTGCTGTATTATAAGTCAAATATTTATGATTTATTCTTTAAAAATAACCTTAAAACCTATTTAAACATGGAAAGATGCTACTAATATCACTGTACTTGTATATAAACATTTTATCCACAACCATGTTTCAATATATAAGAATACTACTGAAACTTCTTTAAAACAGGATTAATGCAAAGTAGAAAATAATCCAGTTGATGACTTTTAAAACAACTATTTCTAGAAAATTGCTAACTTGTTTTGGAGACATGTACCCTTGGCACAAAAAATTATCAATTTTAATGATATCTATACCAGTGGTTCCCAACCATAAGTCCATGGGCCAATGCTGGTCCACAGAAAGATTTCAGCAAGTCCACAAGAGGGTGTAAAATATATGTTTCAAAACATGGCTACTAAAGTACATTGTTTTACAGTGTTATTTAAAAGTACTTTAAAAATTAATATTATATGAAGTAGTTGTAAAATTTTGGACTAGGAACTAGTTGATCCTTAGTTGAAAAAAGGTTGGAAACCATTGATCTATATTACACACAAAATAAAAAACAAGTTTTATGTTTTGATATGGTCTAATTTATTTTGTAAAATTAAAATCTCATTTGTTGTTTATATTATACTTTTGCTTGTTTTTGATGTATTTCCCCCAAGATTTCGCCAGATTAGTATGTACTAGGGTTAACTTAGGTACTCAATACAGCTGAAGTGGTCTAAATTAAACTGAAACATTTTTACCATAGGTTCCTATGTTAATAGTAAAACATCACTGCTTACCTTTTACTGTTTGTACTCTAGCTATGGTATTTACTACATTTTTACTTATGTTCATGGTGCTTAAACGAAATTGCATATTTAGTAGTTGACTTTTTCATGCTTCTTGTTTGATGTTTTATGCTAGTTAGTCATTTTAAACACAAGTTTTATAGAAATTAAGTTACTTATTATGTTATGAAAATTATGTAGGATTATAATCTATTTACCTTTATTTTCTAATTTTCTATAAATTTCCTTGTTTTAATGGATCTTTGTCATGCAATTTTTATGCATCAGTTTATAGCTAAATATAACATCCAAAAATGTGTTAACATTAGTGTAGTCCCGTCAAAAATTTCGACTTTTTATTCATACCTGTATTTTGGGTTTCTAAATTATTAATACCATCGCCAAGCAACCCACTACTCTACCATTACACACACACACACTTGTGATTGTACTATGTAGCCCTACTAATATTTTATAGCTTGCTATGCCTATGTGTATTACTTTTAAGCAATAATCGGCCAAATTGAGTGGATATATTTTCCCTTAACAATTTTTGAAATCTATACTTTTCGATACACTTTCACTTTCAGCTTGATAGTGTATTTTCAACTTTTTATAGTAATAACTTAAGTCAAGTTCACTTTAAGCTACCTATGTTGTTTAATATTATTAACTGCTAGCATAATCAAATTCATTGGTTCAATATCCCCAACTTTATTATAACATTAACAGTAAAACTAAAAATGGCGTATCACATCGAAATTTTGTTTCCGATTGTGACACTAGCCTATCAGTGTCACTGACGTGCTCAACTAAGCTCTAAGAGTAAGTCTTAGTTAGTAACACTAGTATCATAACAACCGTCACTTTTTTTTTCTTCTTCTTTAGTTTAGTACAACCCAAACCATAATAAGAGATACTCATCAAATGTAATTAAAATTAAAATATACAAACCAGTGTTTTACAACTAGTTATATTTCTATAGGGTTAATATCACACAATTTCTTACCCAAAGAACTGGCTGAACCCAAAAACCGTGTAAAATATTTTAACCACCATGGTGTATCGTCTGTTGCTTGATTGTTCATTATAAACCTGGATTTAATCCTAACTCACTAATAGAAGATATATATATACACAAATGAATAAAGCTTAAGAAATCATAGTTCCGTCAATGAATAAAACATGTTTTATCTTACGTATGATCATAAAAGTAGCATATTATTATTACTAAAATATTAGAGGTTAGCGCCACGCTTATTAACATCACTCACATGGCATAACTAACGTGTCTTTATGAATAAGAGAAAATGAATAATTTAACAAACACCACAACATGTCCAGAACACTACAGGCTAGCCCCCCAGTGGCACAGCGGTATGTATGCGGACTTACAACGCTAGAAACCGATAGCCCTTGTGTAGCTTTGTGCATAATTAAATACAAACAAACACTACAGGCTATTTAAAAAATATATATTGATATTTCTTCTACTTCATTTGTCAGATAAGTATTACAACAAACCCATACCTAAAATACAAATAATCGTTTTAATAAATAATGATAAGTGCTTAAACATTACATAAAAAAAAAAATTGAAGTATATATATATATATATATTGTTGCGTATCTGTTTGTTTGTTCATTTCCAGTAGAAATTCTTTCCGAGAAACATCCTTTCTTGGTTAAACCAATTTATTCTTCCTCGATACAAACTTTTAGCACACAGTAATTTCACAATCTCGATAACAAAACACACACTAGCTCGAAACAGAATCGTAAATTACCCGAACTCACTTCATTCAATCATACCGCAGGCTTTCACTGCCAGGTTTATATACTAAAAAAGAGGGCGTCTTGAACGCACTAGGAAATTCATGATCATTCGAGAAATTTCACGTTCGCTACCAGCGCCAATCGCGCCAGCAGTGTCACGTGACTTTCGCTGTCGTAACAATATATATATATGTATATACAGAGAGAGAAGGAGATTGATTACACACAATAACCAATATATCAAAATTTTTGTCCAACGCCAGTGAAAGTTTAAATTGTATAAAGTATGCTTAAATAAGTCGTAATTACTTTTATTGTTTGATTACCATCAACAACATTGACAAGAAATATGTTATAATTATGTTTCCATAAAGACTTAAGAATGATATTACAATTCCATGTCTTAAAAAGTATAATATAAAACGTCAGCACATTAACGGTAGATGTAAAATCGTAATTTGGGATAGAGGTTAATTTATTTTACTTTAATTAAAATGATTTCATTGTTTACCCAAGAAAATGATCACCAAATAATATTTTAGTTTACTAGTTCTATCTTAATTTTCAGAAGTGACAAGTTTTGGGGCCGAGCGTGGTGTAGAGATTAATGTGTTGGACTGTGGAACTCAGGTTTTGTGGTTAGCGCTTAAAAATTACGGACACCTAGCAAACAGCCTTTGAATTAGTAGCTTTGCGCGAAAAGCAACAAGTTTTTTAATGTCAAAAGAGGCACTTTTCATCAAAAGGACCTGAATTAGAGTGGGTTACTTTTCCATTGGCCATAACATTTTTGTTACTAGTGTAAAATGCAGGCATATTATGCATTTTCTACATTTTATAATGATATAGAAATCTTACAGTTTCTTAATTACTTTGATGGCGACAACAAATGGTCCAAAAGTTGTTCACATTATTTTGTTGTAGTTACTTCATTGTTTGTTCTATTTAGTATATGATGTCTTCTGTGGCTGTAAAGAGCACTGGAATATTATTTGCTGGCTGATTATGAAGCTGTCCGAAAGTGGCAGTCAAACAATGCTGTCAGGGAACAAAGGTTCAGTGAACAAAGAAAACGAGTTTACATTCTAGACTTGAGCACGCTTTCTTAGTTCAATTCTCCATTAGACGATCTACGAAGAGGATCTACTTTTTCTAGGATCATCGTGTTAGGTTCTGCTGCAATCGATCCTTCCAGAAAGAAAACATCCAGTAGAAAGAACTGTCCGCTCGTTAGTGTTGGTATATATATGCTGTATTTTATATTAATTTGTGAAAATAAAGGTTATCTTATTTCTTACAGACCTCTACAGACTCATTATTTTTCACAAATTATCTCTCACGAAAACCCTCATAAATTTCTTGGTGAATACTGCTGATATTGCAGATTCATCTGTCTAATACTTATTGGTAAACCAGTTTTACCTGCAAATACCACACTAAGTTCATTAGCCATTGATCCACACCCAAGAAGATAGCTTTGAATATGAATATATATATATACAGAGAGAGAGGGAGTAACGTACTGAATCAGAGTGTGACAAAATAAAAAGAAATTGTTAAAGCACATAAATATAGAAAGTAAGATATCCAATGAAAATGAGTTGTTTGTTGTTAAACCTAGAGCAACAAGTTTATCTTTGTTACGCCCATCATGGGTATAGAAACCCGATTTTTAGCATTTTCGCACTCAGACTTATTACTGAAGGACCAATGTTTTGTTTTACTTTATTTCTCACCAAACTACTCAAATCTAATTGCGATAACCATGCCCAATTTAGGGATGATAGAGTAGAGGGAAGGCAGTTAGTCAACACCACCCATTGCTAACTCTTGGATTACTCTTTACTAACGAATAGTTGTACTGACCATCGAATAAGGAAATTAAGGAAATTGTAGGAGTCTGTAGAATAGGAGAAAAGGCAAGAGAAGCGAAGCTGATGTGAAGAGAAGAAAAGAAGAACAAGCAATACGGAGAACATTACCGCTGTCAGTAGGCGACAAGAGAAGACATAGAAGGCCAGTAAGGCTTTGGATAGATGGAATTAAAGAAGATATGAACGATAAGGAACTGCAGAAACCTAGTAATGAACAAAGATGATTGGAGGAGGGCAACACGTGTGGAGGATGGTGACCCCTGCTAAAAGGAAAAGTCGAAGAAGAAGAACGTATATTGACCATCACACTCAACACCACCCGCTGCTAACTCTTGAGCTGTTCTTTGTTAACGAATAATGGTATTGCCCATTACATTATAATGCCCCCAAGGTTGAAAGGAAAAGCTTGATTGGTTTCAGGATTTGAAATTGCGAATTGAGCGCCCTAACCACCAGGCTATTACAAGACTTGGGTAGGGGGCAACAGAAAGGAGTATGTGTAGAAAAATATAACTTATAAATGCAAAAGGCACACTCAAGTAGGTATATGATGTTTAAACAAAATGTTCATATAAAAATATAGCTAAATAAAACTAAAATAAATGCCTTTTCAAAACTTTACAAACAAGATAAAACTGGTGTATAACTAATAACTGATTCGCTCATTATAAATCACGCCTACCTAATTTACTCTTTCTGGAAATCAGCTTCACCTAAAAAGACCATATCTAACACACACACACTTGTGAAATAGTTTTCTCATATTTCTAATCCTCTTTGTGTGTAGCATCTAAATAAAAAGATGGAGCTCCAGCATACTTAAATACAATGCAAGATCCAATATCTCACAGGGATACAGTTTATGTTAAGAATATATCTTGAAGTGACACTGGACTTAATTAAAAATAACTGCATTTGAGCAGAAAAATATATGAACTGGACAAGATGTGTATCACACAATGAAACCAATACCTATTTATATCAAAGACATAAAACACAATGTGTGTGTATTTGCTTCTGAATGCTAGATAGTAACCTTCCACTGGATTCATAAATTCAGATTTATTCTCGCTAATGAATTATTCAAGATCTGGAACATAAGTGTCTGGCTTTTCTTACTTCAAGAAAAATGTTGGATTTACCCATAGTGTCTAGCACTATCAGATGACTGGTCATTTTCGTTCAAACACAGAGGAAGCCACCACCTAGAGATACCATTTTGCCTACCATCGGAGAACACTCGCTGTCATAATTTTTGCACAATGTGCAATATTACATCCACTTCTCACCATGAGCAGAACAGGTGTTATCTTCATAGAATGACAGAAGAACAAAGGCAGCTAGAACGAAATAACTCTTTGATTTTCTTCTCCACGTGTTTTGCAAAAAATAGTATTGTTTCCACGGTCAAGAAATGCGTTAACTTTTTTTCATTTCTGTAAACACTTACAAGCAACATGTATGACAAAACCATTCAACAAAGAAATACAATTCAGAAACCCTTAAACATCGATGTAAATGTAAATTTCAAATAATATAAATATACTTTAATGATTAAACGTACCAGAATAGAAAAAATAAACTAATTTTTTAACAAAGATGCAAGTACACAAATACACAAAAACTTTAAAAAATACAAAATAGTAATCAAACTCTGATAATAATGCAATGGATTATGGAAACAATAAAAATGAGCCCTATGAAAATTAATAATCAAAAAATAACCTTTAACATAGAAAATTCATATATCAAATCAATTTCAAATATTCTTTCAACAAAGAAAACCTTTCTACATGGTAATTAAAAGATACAATGAAATATTACTCTTTTCAACATCACACGATCACATTAACATAATCAAAACCCTTTAAAAATACTGTTGCGTCATCGAGTTCATGTGATTCTCACGCTCTCTACTTTCTGGAATTATCCTGTACTTTGGCGAATGTTCTAGTTCTTACTAGATATAAGGTAGTCGGGTATATAAAAGAGGGGGACAACGTGACAAGGTAATGTAATGTGTCTGTGTAGATAGTGAGTAATTGAACTGCAGTCAGAAGTATTATTGACGTTCGTTGTTATAGCGTTTGTTTAGCGTGATTGTTGAAGTTGAGTGTATCGGTAAAGTTATATTCGGAAAGAATAAACCAGTTTTATTAAGTAAAGACTTGTGTCGTTAAAATTTCGTCGGAACGAAGTTACGGAAAAATCAATTAACAAACGGAGATGTAACAATACTTAGAAAATGAAACCATCCTCACATCATACCAGATCTTGTCTCCTCAATGAAAAATCTGTTCTTTTAGCAACTTGTCAAACAATTCTTTTGTCTTTGAGCAGTCTTTTCTAATTGTTCTCAGGAAAACTCGTGTGCTTCGACAACTGTAGACCTTAACTACACCACATATTCTTATAGACATGGTGAGGGTTTTCTTGTGAGGAGAAACATACATCAAGTTAAAAGGGAATAGTATTTTCCTCAAACACAGCGGTATGTCTGCGGACTTACAACGCTAGAAACCGGGTTTCGATACCCGTGGTGGGCAGAGCACGGATAGCCCATTGTGCAGCTTTGTGCTTAATTAGAAAATAACAAAATTGTCATTTGTGTTTACAGATAGAAACTTATTTATATTTTAGTTTTATATGTATGTATGTATGTTGTAGTACGTGTCAAGTTACATAAAGCCAGTGGGCCTAACATGGTCTGGTGGTTGGGGTGCTCAACTCGCAATCTACAGGTTGCGAGGTCGAAATCTGTCACCGGATATACTTGCTCCTTTAGCCGATTATATAGGGGCGTCGTAATGTTATGGTCAATCCCACTATTCGTTGGCCAAGAGTTGGTGAAGGGTGGTGTTGATTAGCTGCCTTCCCTTTGTTTGTCATTTCCAAGTTAAGGACGTCTAGCACAACAAGTCTTTGAGAAGCTTTGAGCGATATTCAGTAAACAAACGTAAAGCTATCTAATACTTTCGAGCAGCGTTATCTAACTCTATGAGTGATAGCTACGTCATTGTCAACAAGTTAGAAAAATTATGTATTTCTACCACGTGTAAGGGAGTTTCCTAAATGATCTTAATAATATATATATATTATAGAAATTTTAATGTACAGGATTTTATTTTTTAGTTAATTAAAAACAATGGAATGTTATTATCACAGCAAGGTGAGTGGAGGCAACTTGAGCTTATTTTTCTTGTCAGCTAGCCAATGATATATATATTTACACATACACACACACACACACACATTAAAGCTTAATATAGAAATAAAAACTTTTGACTACATTCGGAAAGCAACGATCGTATTGAACATCTATGTGGACAATAAAGGCTTTCTACGTAAATAATATAGTTTAGATCATTAGCTTTAATAACTCCAATGATTGTAATGGTGCTCTCATCCAAGCTAAGTCGTGATATAAAAAAAAGAACTTCAGAAATGGTAATGCAATCTCAGTTACGACCCTTTTAAAAATATACATTGCAAGGTACACTTTCTCTCTCTACTTATGGTCCATCGATCATAAGGAAGCAGCAGCAGTTAAGCGTTCAGTTACTATGGTAACGAGACGATGAACACCGGAAATTGGCATCATCAGGAGGTCACTATTGCCTTCCTGTACGTAGTGGAAAAGGTACGAGAGAAAAAGGACGTTAGAAACCCTGGAAACGGAATGAAACAACGTTGGTTCAGAAGTACTTTAACAGATTAAATTTCTAGGTAATCAAGAAACGCATCACATGTTGGAATTTTAGACAATACCATAAAGTTCACAAACATGAAAAGATGTTACTCAAAAGTCACAATAATAAAATTTTATGGAAAGCCTAAAAAATGAAGGGCATTTTTAACGTGTTTAGTTTATATTTTAAGTGGGATTGCAATTACGGATTTACTAATTAAGATTTTAAAAAAATTAATTTACTAATTCTTAACAGCCGGAAGTTTCAAGTACACACAATTTCTTGTTATTGTTAATTTTTGTTGAGCTTCATAATCAACGGAGAAAAGGAAATTCTAATTGATTCAATATTTAGAGATCTGGCCCTAACAGTGACAGATTATCTGTCCTTTTAGAGGGCGGAGAATATGACGTCAGAACTTAAGCAACGAATGAAAATAAAACACCTTGGTAGCTATTGATATAAATCGAGATCAGTTCTTTAGCTATTATATAGGGCCAGAAAAACAGTGATTGTACGCCACTCGTCAAACTGGTGAGTAGGAAACTTTTATATGCTGTTGCAAAATTTCTTTTTACATTATTGTAAAAATTCTTGGCGTTACCTATCTTCAAAATATTCCACATTCAATTCAAGGTCGAAAAACATCTGTTGATTACATGTAAAAGTCCAAATTGTATTTAGTATAATAACACAAATTAAGATTTTTAATTAAATGAAATAAATTATTTAAGTCCTATTTTTCAAGCTCAATTTTTCTCTAACGAAAACGTTCCTCTTCTTTTTTTCTACATATGTTTACTACACTGGTAATGCTTTTTATCAACAAATCACGTTTTTTATGTAAACATAAAATAACGGCAGAAAACTGTTTTCATACTGAGTTATTATTCGTTATTTTTGAATAGTAAACCTTAATAAATCTTGATATCCTTAAAAGTGAATACATGTGAAACGAAAAATTCAGTAACTGAAACTGTTACAATCATAAATCAACATAATTTTGAGAGGAAGTTTGTTGAATGTGAATTTAACTCTGACGCGCACAAAAAAACCAACAACACAAATTAAAGATGTGCTTGAAGTATAAAAACAGAAAACTAAAACGGTAAAATGTTTTGATCGATCACAAATGTATTTTGCAAAGATACGTAACATTTAGTTTTAGAAACGTGTGCCGAATTTACACAAGTTTCGAGAACAGTCAGTAAAAGCGAGATATATGTTTTTATCAAAGTTTGATTCATGGCCATATGAAACATAATTTCATATATCAAAATCGCTGCCCGCAGGTGTTCCGAAATAAGCTTTAGGGCTTATAGCATTAAAATTCTGGGTTTGACCCTTGCATCGGGCACAGCGCAGTTAGCCCATTCTCTAACTTTACCTACCTCTAAATAAAATTAGCAAACACATAAAAAAACTATTTAGTTTGCGATAATCATAACTTGTGTACAGGTTTTGAAATGAAAACTTTTGCACAGCCTTCGCTAGAAGCCTTAAATGTAATTCTGTAAGAAACCTTCAGATGGTTCCATATAAACGATGGTTTGTTTGTTTGTTTTTGAATTTCGCGCCAAGCTACACGAGGGCTATCTGCGCTAGCCGTCCCTAATTTAGCAGTGTAAGACTAGAGGGAGGGCAGCTAGTCATCACCACCCACCGCCAACTCTTGGGTTACACTTTTACCAACGAATAGTGGGATTGACCGTCACATTATAACGCCCTCACGGCTGAAAGGGCGAGCATGTTTGGTGTGAGAGGGAATAAACGATGGAGACTAAAGAACTGCTTGTTTTTATTTAACAAGCTACGAGCAAAAACCTTGTTATCAAACTTCATTTTGAATACATTAGCCATACATAGAGATTTTAGAACTAAATAAAAAAGCAATTCAAAAGAAACATTAATATTTAGAGTGGATTCAAATTTACTCGGAATTGTCCTTATTCATCATTACACACGTGAAAGACATAATATTTAATTTTTTAACATAATACTGCTTAATGAAAGACACCTTTTTAAAATACAGGACATATAAATAGCTAGTTAATTGAAGTTGTATTTACCTTTCATAGCTACGTTACTATAATTAAAAACGTTACGGTGGAGGACAGTGTGTGCCAGGATACGTAAACCTAGGGCCTAACATATTAAAATTTAATGAAGTATAACTCTTAACGGTTTTCATGTGAATTTATTAGCTTATTTAAACATTATTAAGCTCTTTCTTTTGCTTTGGGGAATATTGAACAGAAAGCTGAAAAGTGGGGTTTTAATCTCAGCAAGCCTCTCCTAGATATCAACTGGGATATACCAGCTTTTCTTTCATTTTGTAATGTTATGTATCTGCTCTTATCGTATATATATATATATATTGCGAACCGTGGTGTCTGTCCGAGCGTTCGCCTGTCTCCCGTTTGAAAAGCTGCGCGCGCAGACAAGGCTCAACATTCACTTTTGAAATAATGGGACAGGCATGAATAATGTTGCTGCCAAATTTTATTTCGCAAGCAGGATATTCTACAATAAATTGTTAGGAATTAATCACACTATTATTCACATTTCAAAATGTGACGTAACTTAAAGAATAAAAATATCGATTTACTGTATGTTATTGTTGAGCGGTTTTTAGCATGACTGAAATGCTCAACAATTACTTTTCGCGGTGGGCAGTATAAGTAGCTTAGAGCTTTGGCTCTGAGTGAAACCAAGAGTGCAACACAATTAATATTTTTAAAGTCCGTGAATTAATTTAAATTGATAGATTAACTTAAGCTTTTCCCGTCACTGGGGACGGGTACTTTTGTTTGTTAGCAATATGTTTTAAAGAGACAAACGCAAATTTATTTCTTTATAGTGCGTAAGTTACTTTAAGCATTATGCAAACTATGCATGGACAGAAAGTGTAGCCCCTAGTGGCACAGCGGTATGTCTGCGGACTTATCAGGTCATCCCATAAGTTCTGTCCGGATTTTAAATAAAGAAAACGATGATCAAATCTTACATTTTATTGAAATTTAATCATCAATGTAGTTTCCATGATTATCTAT